TCCTGCTTTGAGCAGGGGGTTGGACTAGATGACCTCCTGAGGTCCCTTCCAACCCTGATATTCTATGATTCTAAGATGGCAACAAAGCATGAATTATCTTTTTGCAATGACTAAGCTGAAAGATGGTAATTTTAGCTAGACTTGTGCTGTGGTTTACTGAGTCTTAGGGTACGTCTATACTTACCTGCTGGTTCGGCGGCAAGCAATTGATCTTCTGGGATCGATTTATTGAGTCTTGTCTAGACGCGATAAATCGATCCCGGAAGTGCTCGCCGTCGACACCGGTAATCCTGCTCCACGAGAGGAGTAGGTGGAGTCGACGGGGGAGCCTGCCTGCCGTGTGTGGACCCGCGGTAAGTACCTTTAAGTTCAAACTAAGATACTTCGACTTCAGCTACGTTATTCACGTAGCTGAAGTTGCGTATCTTAGTTCGAACTGGGGGCTTAGTGTGGACCAGCCCTTAGAGTAACTGCCAATTTATTTACCTGCACACTTCAGATATTGATATACTGGTGTAACTAAGGGCTTGTCTACATGGGGCTGCAGTACTGACAAGCCCCTATTTAGGCCTAACATAAACTATGGTGTGCCTGACTTGAAGTCCTCCAGAGAAACAGAGTATAAGCACATCTTGATTTCCTTGGTGACATACTGGCTCCCTTGTGAGTTATCTATTCCCACCTCTGAGAGAAATTTCCCTATTGAAAAACCACTGAGAGAGAAAGATTGATCAGTTCTATGATCTTGACCAGATGATTGCTTTTAAGGGCTTAAAATTAGATTAATTCTGTCCTATTGACTCACTGATTTGTATTTAATTAATTGAGGAAAGAGCTAACATTTATTGAGGATTTATTCATTTGAGAATTATGAACATAGCATGTGGAAGGTGGTACTGATATTACTGGTAGGATTTACATTGTCTTCCCACTAGATATTGTTTATTAAGGTAATTATACTGATTCTTTTTATGTGGAATGTGGAATTTTGCTCTCTGAGCATTGAGTTATGTCTGTTCTATCCCACTGAAATCAATAGGAGTTTTGCAATCAAATTCAATGGAGGCAGAGTTAGGTCAAAGCTAGATGCTTTTGAAAATCTGACACCCTTACTTTTTTCCCTCCTGAATTTTGGAATGTCATATTGTAATTACATTTAATATATTTATTGTTGTATTGGTACATTTACAAAAATCAATAAAAATAATTTAAAATATCTAGAAGCAATGATGATGTAGAGATGATTTTTGAGGGTGTAATAAATCAGAATATAATAAAATGAAGAGTAGAAATGAAGGAAATTCAAAGGTGCCAGGTATGGTCACACATATGTTACAGTAACCTCACACCCTGACAAAGAGTATATTCTCAAATCTTTGCATGGAGTTTTAGTCACCCAGTTCCAAGTAAAGTCCATGGGAACCATACATCTAAAACACTGTGCAGGGTTAAAAAAATCTGTATGAAGTTGTCAGGTGAAATGCTGAATTCCCTTGCTCTATGGATTTGGATCAAAACTGATCATCTTCCTTAACTATGGTTTTCATGCATGCCTGCTACATATGCAATGTTGTACTCTTCGTGATAGAGAAAGGCAACTTATGGCCCAATATTGGCCCTGCTCCACTGCGGCACTTGGCTGGACAATGCAGCTCTACTTGTGCTATGTTGTGAAAGGGTTTTCACTCATTGGGAAGCCACATAATTGCTATGAGGCCTTCTCATAAAGACAGGCCTATGAATCTGCCTCCCAGGCTCTTAGGGATGTTGTCTGATATGTAGTGCCTTCCTGACTCCACATGACATGGCTGGTACAGAGGACTTTAAAGGGGCCATACACTTGAAAGCTGAGCTCAAAAGGGAAACTATCAGCTAGGAGAATCAATAAACCCATTAGTGAGGGGGGGGATTACTTGATTCTTCCTCATACTAATCCAAGGACCTAATCCCATTCCCCTCTCCCCATAGTAGGTCCATTGGGGTTGGGGCAAAATATGCAGAGAACAGTTCAGGATGGGCAGAGAGCTTGTTTCCACAAAGAAAAGAGATGCCTTAGGCACAGGACAATCTTAATTTTATGGATGAGAATTTAGGAATTTTTACAAATACTGCTGTCAATATTTGAAATGTACTAGCTCAAATAAAATCTCGAAGTACCAAAAATAAATGTAGTGGTCAAAGCAGCATTTCAAATAGAAACTGAGGAGAGCATGTCTATATTGCAGCAGGGAGTGGTGTGGACGTTGTGATATGGGCGCTGGCATGGGTCAGCCACCCAAGCTCAAACCTAGGGGTCAGAGGGACTTGGACTCAGGCAGCTATCCCATGCTGCCATCTATGTCACAACATCCACACTGCTATTTTTAATGCACTAATTTGAGCCTGTCTACCCAGGCTGGGAGGCACGTTCCCAGCCACAGTGTAAAGTGAAGGATCAAATCAATGATTTCTATTTACATTTATTTATCTTAAGATCTATCTGTGGTATTTATGGGGGGGGAGGTCTGTTCCCTGGGTATCCCAGCTATAACAAATGTAAAATAAAGTAGTGCACATTTCAATTGTGACTACCCCTTTGGTTCAGTGGAGCAGAATTTCATTTGCTGCCCATTAAACATTTTGAATGAGTATAATTGGTGCTGCAACTTACAGCTCAGACATAATGGCATCTACTCACTAGGAACACAACATTTGTCTGCTGGTAAAGTGCTCTTGCCACACTGATGCGCTGGCGCTGCCCTCCAGAAAGATTGATACCCTGGAAGTAAACAGATAAAAAAAAAATCAATTGATCACAAAATCTCTAATCCAGCTCTAAAATCAGAATACTCAAATTTTGCTTTGTTAGAAGTTTTTGTGGAGAAGACACCATGGAGTGAAAGAATCCAGGCATATCCTTTTGAAAAAGTATCCCTACAGTTCATTTGGGAAAGCAGCATACTAATTGCCTTGATATCTGGAATGCTCTACTATGAATTTTGGGCCATATATACACAACTGTAAAATCGTTAAAGCCTTCATTGCTATTGAGCAAATGCAACTGCAATGCAGATTACACTGATTGTCTGAGATGTTCCAGATTTCCTCCTACAAGGTAAGAGGAAACTTTTAGATGACCTCAGTTGTATGCTACTAGCAGCTGGAACTGACTTTTTAATGTTCTTTGTCCTCACTCAAAATGTACTTCAACATCAGTGGAGAACTTTTCGTGCATTAGACCAAGATGTTTTAAAAATAGGTGGCTAAAGTTAAGTTCTTATGTGCATATTCAGTTCCATGGGAAAAGCTGGGTGCTTGACACTTTTGAAAAACCAGACCATTTGTTCAGGTGCTTAAATAAGGTCTTAACAGTTTAACTTTAGTCCTTAGGCTCATTTTTTAGCAAGAAGGTCATGATGCATTGGTAGCGCTACTGAAGAGATCTGGGTTTGCAGATGACCTTTGGACACTCTGTCCTTGAGCTGGGCCTATAAACTAAATGACATTTTCAGCTTCGGGTGGGGTGGAAAGGAAGGGTAGAGTTTGCCCATAACACATTTATTTTTCTTGCAAAGGTAGCAGCAATTTTTAAAATTACATTTTAATTGGCACTCCCCCAATCATTTATTCAGAAACATTGGTTTGAGAACATTCTTGAGGCATGTGAAGGTTTGTGTAATGCTGTGATGCTATATTATTTATCTAAGGTATCATAATTATACTAGGTAACTGAATTACAAGAGGCAATTTTTAAGCACAATATCAGACTATGTTGAGATGAAGCATAATATGGTGGCTATGAGAGATCTAGGTTCTATTCCCAGCCCTGACCCAGATTTACTGTGTGTAGTTGTAGCCATATCAGGCCCAGGATGTTAGAGAGACAACGTGAGTGAGGTAATATCTTTGATTGGACCAACTTATGTTGGCGAGAGAGACAAGTTTTTGAGCCACAAACAGCTCTTCTTCAGATAAAGACCTGAAGAAGAGCTGTGTGTGGCTTGAAAACTTGTCTCACTCACCAACAGAAGTTGGTCCAATCAAAGATATTACCTCATCCACCTTATCTCACAGATTTACTGTGTAGCTTGGAGCAAATTACTTATCTCTGTGCCTTGGTTTCTTCAGCTGCAATGTATTAGCATTTTCCTACTTCACCAGGGTACAGCAAGGCTTAATTCATTAATGTTTGTTAATTGCTTGATACCTTCAGATGGAAGGTGCTCTAAAACTGTAAAGTTTTATTTTTATTATATGCCTGTAGACACCAAACTGCAAAGAGTGACGCTTGGGCACTGATATTTCGGATAGCGACTGTGGGACTAATAAAACATTCTGATAGCAGAACATTTAAACCAGCACATTTCACACAAACAGCAATGTTCCCATATTTACCAAGCGATGAGCTTTCAAACTAATGATCCAAAAGTATATTTAACTCAAAGATTTATTTGGCAACTAGAGTACTGAAACGATTTAAAGAAAAAACACAAAAACAAATCCTGTGTAGAGGGTTACTGACCCTCTCTCCAATCTGGGTTTGGTCTCCATGAGGAAGAATGTCAATATCAGGCTGAAGGGAGCAAGCATCAATCACTGCTTTGTATCTGTGGAAACAAAAAAGATAATGCAAAATCCACACAGATATTGCCAGAGAACCACACTTTCTAACTGCATAGGAGCAAAGATTAACCAGCTGTAAAAAGTCACACGGTGGAAAAGACTTGTTTGTTAGGCACTAATTGTTCTAATGGAATCCCTTTCAATCATAGTCAAGTAAATGGCATTTTGGCTAGCAAAGCACCTTAGGCCAGCTCCCCAGACCAATTAAAAATATTTAAAGACTAAAAATAGGCAGAGCAGGCACTGGTTCTTTTATGACACATGGTTATTCTTTAAGGTTTATTTGTTTGCAGCATCAGGACCTTAGTTTCCTCTGTTTGTGTGGGCCTTTCACAGAAACAAGGGAGAAACAGTAAAAACATACAATGTGATTGTATAGCCACCAAAATTGGGAGAGGGATCAGGAGTGGAGATGGATAGGAAACGGTTTTCCTGTCCTGCAAAATTTTTCAAGATTAAATTTTTTTCCCTGTTCCACATTGGAACAAAATGGAGATCTTCAAAAATTTTACCACCAAAAAAACCAAAATAAATAATAATAATAATAAACAACGAACAACAGAGAGTGAGAGAGACCCCAAAATAGCCAATAGCCAGTACTCAGGGCACTCAGCTGGGATACAGGAGATCCATGTTCAAGTCCCTGCTCTGCTGATTCTGTTCTGGAGTTTCTCTCTCTCTCGCTCATTTTGACCAGAAATTCCACTCTAACCCAAGAAACGCTCTTAAGAACTAGTCCTTTCCTGCAAAAAGTTTCAATTTTGAAAAACCGACATTTTCTGACAAAAAATCGTTTCACTGGAAAATTCCCAGCCAGCTCTACTCAGGAGCAGGTGAGGCACCTGATATTATTTTTAACTCACTTTAAGGGACTTTTTAGGTTTCAAGTTAACAGGGAACTTGTAAAGATCTTATTCAATCAAGTGGGGTTATTCTATCAATATTTCTAATTAAGCTTGTTCAACTGTTTTATTGGATGGAACCCTAGCAGCCAAGTTAGAGAGAGCAGGGCACTGGTGGTAAAAATGAAGGGACACATGACAACATTCCTAGATTCAGAAGCCACTGGGGCCGGATTTGTCACTGACTTTCATTCCATGCAATTCCACTGGAGTCAATGATTGCACGGGGTCTAAATCTGAGCAGAATTTGGCCTATTTAATCTCCTGGGCAATGCAAAAAAGTCATTTGGAAACAAAAATGTTGCAATAGAGCACTTAGCAAGAGCCCTTTAAATAAAAAAAACCCTACTCAAACTATTTTTATTTTTCAAATAGCATTTTTTTTGTTACTCCCTCTTTCCTTTCCAAAGTCAATAATAGTAGAGATTCAATGCCAAATGCTATTTCAGAATGTAAAAAAACAGAGTTCAAAGATTAGCTGATCCACCCAGGTTAAGCACAAACATACCACTTATCGTCAATAACATCTCAAATTTTTAAATTTTAAACAAGTTTCAAAATCAACTTACAAGAGAGTTTACTCAAAAGTGCCACTCTGGTCTATTAAATACTGTGCATCACACATAGATGTCCTTTGGAAGGAACAAAAGCTCCTAAAATGAATTTTTTGGTGTATCTCCATGTGCTACGAAGTCAGCTGAACTTTTATCATACATACACTTTCACAATAAATTGATCAAAATACATCAAATATCAAAATATATCTGGCCGAAGGAGCAGTTTGTAAATTTATGCCTCAGAAACATATGGTCAGTTGTTCACCTAACAGATGGCCCCAGACCTGGAGCTGAAGTGTTTGTTTAATGTTCTCCTTTCAAAAAACACAGAATGGGTTGTCTAGTAATTACTTTTGCTGGCACACCAGCTTCCTCCCTCAAAACAGCATTATTTAAAGTGCAGTTACATTTGTAATAAAAAACCAGGGTTCCAACATACAACCTAAAAGATTGTAACACTGATATTATTCCCAACAGTACTGAGCAGAAGTTACAAATGCCACAAATAGGGGCAGACAGTACACAATAGAGAGGCTGGCTCTGGAAGTGTAAGACATGGGTAAATACAATGTCATATATCGGGGAAATTATAAGGAGTTTTCACAGTTTTCTTGTGAAGAGGTGGTTCAGTATTGAATAATAAATGTCAGTAATGGCATGTGTACCTCTGGGGTAGCCCAATTAGCTGAAACAATGTTATCATTGGACATTTATTGTGGGGTAATCTGACGGAAACACTGGATTCTTTTGCAATGAAATGAGTAACTTTAGTTCCAGTGTCTCAGCCTTACAGGAGCATAACTCTGTTTTCTTAGAAAAATGAACCAAATTCTCCTCTCCTCCCACAGAAGCCAAAGGGCTCATTTAAGCTCTTGGAGCCCTCCTGTCAGAGGGAGTAGGAGAGGAGGGCACCATCTGAGCAGCTGTGACTGAAGGCATTGGGACTGATTTTGAGTTCGCTTATGCCAATATAAATCAGGAGTATCTCCACTGAAGTCAATGGAATTAAACCAGGACAAATTGGATCAGAATTAGGCCCATTGTGTCTGTCTCATATCGGAGCAGATAAAATACATCCAATTCTTCTTCCATTACATTAGTGTAAAATCAGAGTGATTGAGAACAGAATTTGGTCCAGAGCCACTGAGCCCGCTGAGTGGATGACTATCCTCTCTCTCAGGAACATATGTCTGTTGTGGGGACATGGACCACTATCTAAATATCTAGAAGTTCCCTCTTGCATTCAACAAGCAATATTATGTCTGCTGTCAACACAGGACTGCTGGCGAGAAGGAGATCCCTGGGTCACCTGACCATGCCGTGCATCATACCAAGACACCATTATTGACAAACCAGGTAACCAAGGAGGAGAATATGACCTGTTAGCCATAAACAGCTAATGCAGTTGTCTCTGTGAAAGGCAATTAATCTTTCCCTTCCCTTTATTGGCAGGGTGCTGAAACATGTTACCTTTGTTTGTTGAAGGGGCTTTCAAAAATGATATTCTCTTCCACAGTAGCATTGAGCAGCCATGGTTTCTGTGAGGCATATGCCACTGATCCTCTTTTCCTGGAAAAACAGGAATTCCCACCTCATCAGTACAATTAAAAAACAAAACAAAACAAAAAACAAACATATAATGCAGAAACTGGTAATGAGTCTTCACTAATGCAACCTTTCTATTTCCCTTCATTAAGACAAATGAATTTTCCACATATCACATCTCTAACCAAAGAAATGTTATATAATTAGAACCCCTCTTGCACATTGCCATTGTTTTCCTAACAAACATTTTGAATGGAAAACTACATTTGTTCCCTAATTTATTTTCTTCTTTGACATGAGTTTAAGAGAAAGCTAACACACAGCATATTCTGCTTGAGTAATGAGGGTATTGTGAGGCAAGCCAGCAAATGCAAGGAAGTCTAGTTACAGCATTTTTCTGAGAGCCTAATAGAAAGTGTATAGTAGCTGACCAGATAATACATTACAAAAGGGATATTTTGAAAAGGCATATTTGAGGAGTTCAAAAAACAAACAAACGATAACAAAATAAACACAGTGTTTTCCCAATACAATAATAGTTCTTTGGATTCCTCAAGTAAAATATTTTTGAGTCAGGCTGCCCCATAACATAGAAAAAGTAATAGGAGAAGGCTAGTAGCAAGGAAGACTCTGATAGAGACAACTCCCCTTGGGGAATCTATTTTGTCCCACCAAATGCAATGTTTGCCCTCACTGTGCAACAAGTAGGTAGGGGTCAGCCTCAAGAATCTGCAGGTCTCAGAGGGTACCCCCAGTCTACCACCACAGAAGGCTTGGTCCTCCACTCCTCCCACTCCCCAGGATTTCAGAGGCATGGTTGCTAGGGGTTTCTCACAAGTGATAAACCATGGTCCCTCCTCCATTACAGGGTGGGAGGTTACCTCAGTACAGAGTCAGCCTGACTGTGCTGACTTTAATACAAATTGAGGACTCTCAGCACCTTGTAGGATTCAAGACCTTAATTCCCACATATGTAGCCAGACAGTTCCTGGATAAATATAGGGTACTGACCCCCAGTGGCCTTCCTCATTCAAGAAGTCTGTTTCAATGAGTCTGCTCACCAACGTAAGATCAGCAAGATTTGGCCTGATGTGTTTTATTTAAATTAAATAGCTTTTTCCCTTTTTAAAATGTTGCCTGCCTTCCCCAGATCACCATCGTTGTCTGCTGGAGCAGCCATTTCATCACTCCTCTTCTAGCTGGACATTAATGCAATTCAAATCATGTACTGATAGCCAAGTGTACTGGGCACCTTTCTTATCAGAAACTGAGGTCATCTGCCCTGATCTTCTGTCAAGTCTTCACAAGACTTGCCTAGAAATTTTTATGAGACACAAGTTTCTTTGAGGAGCTGAGAGGACAGTGTTATGCTACCCAAAAGGCTTTATTAGTACATTCTAGACATCATTTCTGAGCACAAAAAGTACACGCTCAGTTGGAATTTTAATTATGTTTGATGAATATTCTTGGCTCACAGATGAAATGGAACCTCAAAAACCCTTTACTTCTAGGTCTAATTCCTCACAGGCATTCAGTCCTAACTCAAAAAGAAACCATTAGTTAAATTAGTGTGAAGTTTACATATACACCCATACCTCGATTTAACGTGACCCGATATAACACGAATTCAGATATAATGCCGTAAAGCAGTGCTCTGGGGGGGGGGGGGGGGGAGGGCGGGGCTGCGCACTCCGGTGGATCAAAGCAAGTTCAATATAACGCGATTTCATCTATAACGCGGTAAGATTTTTTGACTCCCGAGGACAGCGTTATATTGAGGTAGAGGTGTAAATAATTTTTAGAAGAAATCAGTGCATATGTTATAGGATTAATAAGTATTCAGCAATTCATTTTAAAGTCCAGAGTGTCTCCCATTCACTTGCTGTGGCTTAAAATTGTGCACGTTCTGAAGATTGCTGAAAGGTTACTGCAAATTAGTTTTTTCTAAATAGTTAATTGCTAGCGTGATTGTGATGTTTCAGGGGGGAAAGTCTTATGGGAAATGTGTTTTGTCTTTCAAAACATAGCTATGGAGACTAGCACACTGTGGGTGAAATTCACCCATGTACACTGAACCAGCACAGGGACATTGCTTTAGTCCCATTTAACCCATATTTTGAGCCCTTTAGTGGCCCACAGGACTTGTGCTGGCCCATACATGGGTGAATTTCACCCCCTTTAAATCCAATTCTTTTTAACTGGAAGCTGAGATCAGGTTGACACACAGGGGTAGATCCCATATTTATTACATGGGCAAAATTCTCGTGAACTCTTACCTGCGTGAGAAATTTATGCCCAAGCCCATAGTGTCTCTCATAAGGAATCTAACTGATAATTCAAACCTCTCATTGAAATCAAAAGAATAATCATTTGAAACCATTAACTTCACTGGAGAGTACCCAGTTGACTCAGAGTCAATTCCATATTGATGTATCATTTAGGAACATAGGTCAAAAGTTTCATTATTTACCCAAGTCCATATTCAAGCCTGATTTTCAGAAGTCAATTCAAGTCAACGTACATAATTAGCATTTCTGAAAATAAAGCCATTTATTTAGTTGTTTATATATGGATGCAGATGCTTAAGTTTTGACCACCAAATTTGACCAAACAAAAAACAACACACAAAAAATGTTGTGGAGTTAGAATTGGTGAGAAGATGAGATACAGTATGTTGCAAACCCTTTATTGTGCTTCTGGAGCCCTGGATCAAAATTTAGGTTGAGCATTTCTCAAGTTTTTGCAAAATTCATGAACGTCTACTACTGATACAGCAAAAACATTACAAGTCAGCACTGAAGTTCCCTGGCATATCTGAGGGAGGAACATGCACTGTGTTGGTCTTTATACCAGTCTGTGCCACTCTTTCATTTTTACAAGAAATAAACTGAGTCCCTGCTTTTTTTCCCCTCCAGGCTGTCTCAGGTCCCAGGGTACTAGAATGCTGCTGCATTACCACCTATGAATACGCAGAAACATCCATTTATATCATTGTCTAATTTATACCGAAAAAAGGTCTACATGCTTAATTGCTTTTCTGTTTGTTTTCATCTGTTCTAAAGCTTGCAGCAGCTGCACAGAAAGTAAAATAATTCAATCTGATTTCCCAGGAGGCTCAATAGTTGCTACTCATTAATAGGAGACTGATGTTCTTTCCAATTAGGTTTTAAAATATTGTACCTGACTTCCGTGTCAACAGCGGTTTCCTTCTCTGGGCTGCCGAAATCAAAACATCAGTTATTTTTTTAAATCTGTAGACAGCCCACCAGACACGTTAAAAATATTCTAATACAAAAAACTAAATAAGTAAAAAATGATATATATTTATGATTTAACATTCCAAATACAGTATCACGAATGTAGCTATATAACAGAAGTAAAGCTCCTTAATAAGTACAATGCTTTTCTTTATGATATGGAAATATCCCATCCCATCTCCTAGAACTGGAAGGGACCTTGAAAGGTCATTGAGTCCAG